AGCAGAGGATGTAATTGAAAATACAAGCATGGAGCACAACATCTACTCAAATTATATGACTTTCAAGTTATCTAGAAGAGCTTATAAATTAACTTTGGCAAATATCAGATAGGCAATAACTAGTGGCAACAATGTAGGTACATGAAGATGAAGTACAACATAAAGAGGATGAACAGAATGTATGAGGTGTTATAATCGAGCAGCATGGATAAAGGTGATAGAAATGGAATTTAATACGTTAAATGGGCGTGAGTTAGCATGTGTAGGAGTAACTGATTGCCCTTTCCAATAGTCAGGAGTGATCTTTTTTAATTGGATCATGTTTCTTCATCGCTGAATTGGATGCTTCTTTTTGCCCTCCTCAAGTGTAAAATATTTTAAAACTTCTTTTAAACATTTAATAATATAAAATTGAGATAGAAGAGCAATCAACAGAAAACTCCTGACACAAAAGGGCTGACTTGATTCTGTCCCTAGAAAGCTTTGCTATGTTTTACTCCTGCCAAAGGAGACACTGGGTAACAGTTTCCAAGACACTGAAGTGATTAGGTTTTGGTATACATGCTGATTTTGCACTTGTCTATTTATGTCTGTCAAGGGAATTGCTTTCCTTCTCTCTCCTTTCTCAAACCAATATATTGATCTTAATGCCTCATTAAGATGAGTGCTCTAATGAACATGTGATTTTTTTTTTTTTTTTTTTTTTTAACAAGGAGACTGCTTTGGTACACCAGCAGTAAAGTTATTTCAGCAACTGAAATAAAGTATGCACTACAAGAATTATGCTAGTTTAACAGTAACAGAATAATTGAACAGTGCAGTCTGGCCTGTGTATCAATGATATAAAGTGCTTATGTCTTATTCTCAAAAGTGACTTACCACTGTGAAACCTAAATCATCCATATGTTTTTTAAAATATTCGCTATTAATTTACAAGTTAATGCCAGGCTAAACAGACTGGAAGTGGATAATTTTTTCCAAAAGCAGTATGACTTTAAAAAGAGTTAGAAATAATAATAAAAAAGTTTGCTTTACTATCCCTTTCGAGTATTATTTTGTTCCAAAGCAACTCTCAGCACTAGGATGAGAGCTGTCAAAAATCTAACCTACTGCTCTGCCATACCCCTCACACAGTCACAACAAAAACTTTACTTCTCACTCCAAAAAAAAAAAAAAAAAAAGAAAAAGGGTTACAAGAAAGGAACTCAAAATAATTTTTTGTTTGTTTGTAAAAATCCAATCCATCCAATTGCACTGCTTGAAAATGTGTAAATACTTAACACCAATTTTTGAAGGTGTAATGGGAACCCAAAGACATCAAATTCAGTGCCTTTGAAGGCTTCTCCCCATCATGCTACAATTGTTTTTGTGACATGGGTAAAAATACACCTGTCTTTTAAACAAAATGTCTATCTCATTCCTTATCACAAGTAGTCTTGTGAATGTCCATATAACCACAAAGCATAAAAGTATCATCTGTTCTCTTAAAGGTTATGAAATGTTTATGTGCCCATGACAGTCACCCAGATGTAGTCTTCAGGCTTTGTTGAATTCATAACCTCAAACCTTTTTGGTTTTAGGATGCACTAAAATAATTTGGGGGCTGGGACGGTTCTTTCCTAACAAAGATTGTCAAAGGTACCTGTGCTTGTCTGCCTGTGGGTGAACCAACTTCAGTTGCAGATGAATCACGTCCTGCACTGAACAGTCCCTGAATTCTTTGCTACACAGCTGAGACATCTTCTGGCAAGAGACAGCCAAGTCCCAGGAACAATGCATGGATGGGACTTCGAGAAAAGGGATTCTCAGCTCTAAGCCTAACATCCTCTATACATCTATTTGAAGCTTTCAGACACCCGTGTTGACCTAGGTGTCTAGCACTGGTAGCCAATATGAGACACATAGAACTAGAAGCCACTTCTGAAAGTGTTAAACCTTGAAACTTTTGCCTCAGTCTCTCCATCTGCAAAATGCAGAAACTACTAATTTACTTTAGGGAGCAATTAATATGTTTTTCTCCTACTTCTAATGATACTTATGTGGAAACTCTCTATATACTGAAACAGGTCATTAAATGTTTGAACCTGAATATAAAAGATGTCCCTCTTAAATCGGATTATTTCCTATGGATTGAGCCAGACAGAAAAAAATCCATGCAAATTCCTTTTGACTCAGAAAAAATTATTCCATGCTGCAAGCCAATCTCTCAGACAACCTATTTCCCAACTCCAATCCTGAGGAATTTAAGATTTGCATGCAAAAATTCACCACATGCTTCATAAATTTGGTTTATGAGAATCATTGTGCTTTACACTTTTTTCTGCCCCCCCTTCCCAAATAGCGGTAGTTAGATCTGGACCTCAAGCCAAGCAGCAGATGTTGGGCTTTCCATGCAGAAGGCGGCTGTTAATGACCCAGAGGATCCCTTCTTACTTATGAATGCTGCTTCCATACACGTACGGAGCCTGTTAAGTGAGAAGAAACTGCAGTGCATGTTACATTCATGTAATTTTAGGACAAATCTGTGTCTGGGTTGTCCCCTAACAGTGGAAAGGAGAAGGAAGCAAAAGGCATTCTTTTGTGGATGGCAAAACACAGCAAATGCAATGTTGGTAACTCACCCACTAGTGTTTATAACGTCTCAGGGACAAAACTTGAATGAGACCCAGAGATTTGACTTCCAAACTTCTGCACTAACTTATTATGTAATAATGTAATCCTGTAATGTACTATTTATGGTTGGCTTAGGCAATCTTATCTAAAAGGCCTCATGAGAAAAATTACGCTCTAATACATATGGATGTGATAACATCTATCTAGGCTAATCAACAGGCATTTGTATAATTCAAAAATGCACAGTGAAGACTGAGACTGCATTAGCTACAGACTTCAGTAGGTTTTCTAAAAGCCACACCAGGCCCAAAGAAGCCTGGTTCAATAAATATGTCCCTAGTCAGAACCATAAAGCCTAATAGAGTATGTCTGTCATGTAAAGTTGATGGTTTGCCTCCTTTGCACTGGACTAGCATTTCATTGTCTAAATCAAATATTTATTAGCATTCACCAGGCTCCCTTGCTCTGTTCTAGTGCAAATTAAGTACTTCTCTTGATGAGAAAACCCATAAACGGACTATTAAATAGTCTACACTGGGATCAAGGTCATATATGCATATGGGTAGGAACTGTGTTAGATTTGGCTCCCTCTGCTTCCTCTAGTCCTCCAAGAGCACCAGTCAAGAGACTTGAACAGTAGTAAGAAAACCACTTTGTCTTGGGGAACACATGTTGTTCTCCAAAACAGCAAGAATGATAAGCTCAGCCTACATCAGAACAACTCTCAGAACACATCCCAGCGTAAGCAGCATCTCACCAGGAACACTGCAGTTCATAGATGCGTAAATTTGAGTACCTTCTCCTTACCATACAGTGGGCACACAACTAGAAAGTTCCAAAAAACTTAAATCAGGAAAAGACTACGAAAGAACAAACACCACCGTAATTTACAGGAATTAAGTGGGTGCCAGTGCAGACTGAAGACCAAAGACAGAATACGCTTCATGAGACAAATCTGGCCAAAAGTAGAGCTACATTCTGCATGGGCTGAAGGTATTGCATGGTACACAACTGGCCACGTGAATCAACCCACCAATTCATGCCAAATAGAGGTAGAATGAATAATGGATGTTAGTTCTGTATCAGAGAGAAAGGTCCTTAGTTACCTAATAGACAGCGTCTACTTTTCAGCATTTTCTACTCACCCACTGATGTCCAAAGTAACCCCAAGTTTGGCACAAGCTGAGGCCTTGAAACAGGTTACCAAATACGGCTTTTTGTGAGACCAAATAATAGTGCTGTCAATTGTCTCAGGTTTCTTTGCTTTTATCAGTGCTTCAGCTTCTCCCACAAAGATTCTCATCTTTCATTTAAGAAGTTTCTACCCTTTGCGATTCTGGAGAAGTCTGCAAACATGCCTCTAATATAACCTAGTGGGTCAGAAAACAAGCCAAAGAAAAAGAACCTCACCCCCCCATTTTTTTTTTTTCCTAACAAATAAATCATGGTTTTTAAGCTGACATCATAGAGTTTATGGTATCTTGACTCAAGGTTTTTGAATGATAAGGTTAGAAGTACTTTAAGATTTCAAGCTAGCAAGCTCCTCAAATAAAAATAAACAAAGCTCTGTCCACAGCTGTTCTGGAGAAGGTTAACTCCTTTCCTGCTAACTACATCTCTCATTGCTATAAACATGGAAAGAAATGACAGCTTTCAACTAACCCTCTCTCCAAAAGGCCAACAGGTCCCATCTATAACAAACTCTCAAGCCAAATGATATAATCCTCCCACAGTGTGATGTCCATATTCCACCTCCACAATAGAATTACCAGACTTCCAAGTTACTCGTACCTTAATTGTAAATAAGAAAACTGATGTTAGGCTATCAAAGGCTGCTTGAGGACTTTCTCAGAGGCATTACAAATAATTTAAGCAAATAAGACTAACAGAGAACATGACTGTGTCATTGCCCTATGTCCTGTTGGTTCTAACTTGTTCCCAGCACTCTTGATCAGAACATCACGTGCAAAGAAGAAAATGCAGTTTTAATGAAAAAGCTCCTCTCCCTCCAAAATCAACAGAAATGACCGCACAGCATTTCCATCAAGGTCAAGTATTTATAATATCAAGAATGCACTGTGACTTCACAATTATTTAAAGGATCTTTTGCTTGAAATAATGAAAATCTCGTATCTCCCACTTTCATTGTTTACAAAGGTTGCACAGAGTGACATACCATGAAACTTCCATTCACCTTCAGTTCTGGTTTGGTCATCCTTTGACTAATACCACGTTTATCGTGAATCTACGTTAATTTGAAAAAAGGCCTCCCCCACACACCAAAAACAATGTGCATCATGCTCCATCTTCAAAATTGTTACACAAATTACTCCTGCCCCATGCCACACCACAAACATACATAAAAGAAAAACAACGACATTACTTACTAGGAACTCCAGACACCAGCCGTAACGGCCGTAATACTCGGAAAGCCCGCAGTGCTTTAACATCGAATCCGGCACCTTTTCCTCCTATTGAATTCCCTCCATCTGCTTTGGTTGCTTGTTCTAAAATTGCACTAAAAAGCCTGCAAAAAGAAAGAGGAAACAATCTGTAGGCAGACAGCAAGGCTTGGGCTAAACAGGAACAGAGATCATCATCGTATCACTCAAACTATCTCACAGACCTGCGAAGAGTGTCACACATCTCAGTCGACATTCGCATATGGTGGAGAAGAGACAGACTCTTCCCATATGCAATAGGCTAATGGTGATGTCTATACCATTTGCAAAACACTTGTTTCTGGAGCAGACATAAACACGCCATGCTCCTCCTTCAGGCTAATGGCTCCTCGCAGCCAGCTATAGACTACCCCAGTGACCAGCCTGCCTTGTGGCACGTGGAGATGTGCTCCCTGCCCTGCACACTGGGGCATGCTGGGTGCTTCAAAATGCCCATTCTGGCAATGCCTCATGCTGAATTTAAGGGGTCACCACCAGTAGAGCACATGGGTCAGATTTTGAAGGCAGTCTCCAGGCTGTCCTTACCAGACAGTCTGGACATACTCAGTGGGAGCTGAGCGGAAAGGCAAGAAAGCACAAAGTTTAGGTTTTGCCCTTTCTGCTGCCAATACTTTGCTATCTTTATTAACCAACAATCCACCTTGGGGGAAAAAAAAAAGTCATCTATAATTAATCCAATCATTAACAGCCACCCCTTTTACAATGTATTAAGATTCACCAAGGTCACTGCAGGTAGAACTTGGTGTAAAACACAGGGATCCTTCAAGGTGCAAGTTTTTAGACAAGGGAGTATGCTCAGATTATGTGCTTGTGTATCCATTTGTAAATTCCCTGATGCATTGGCTAGGGAAAGTGCAAAACTGTAGGAGTCTTATTATTAGAATGTTTTATTATAGCAGTCTTAATGTTTTACCTTGGCTAGTAGAAGTAGCTGTTTTAAGGAGAAGATGCCTCACTCAGAATGCATTTGGAAAGGCAGAGCAAGGCAGAAAAGACAATGTTCTTCTGTGAAAGAGCTGAAGACTCACCCTATGTGTTAGTAAGAACTTGATTTAATAAATTAGCTTTGAGGAAGAAGCTTCCATTTTTCTGATAAAACAGTACCTTTGGGGGAGGATGGCTTCCTCATGAATTTGCTAATAACATTGCTTTCAGCCTTGAAGTCATCAGCTTGAACCCAGCCAAATTCAGTAGAGGTTAAAAGCTGTTCCAGTCTAAATGCATGTTTGGTGCCCTGTAGAAAAAGCTTGCTTGTGAGTGGCAGAGCCCCCTTGGCCCATAGCGTGCTGTGAAGCTACCAGAGGTAACTGTAAAGAAGCTGCACGAGATGCCAGAAACAGCCTAGTTGGAGTGGCCTGGGTTCAGCACTGGCTGATTTCTCTCTCCTGACTTTGCAGTCTGCAGTGCCTCTGTCAGGATCTCATCTATACGCTCTGACTAGCATATTCCAGAGAGAGCCCCCAAACTGCATATCAAGCAGACACTGAGCTGCCCAACTGCTTTACGAGAAGCTCCAATCCCTGCACAGTCTGCTATTAAAACTTAGTGATAGGGTTACCAACATAGGGAGCTTGCCCTGGATAGAAGAAGGAGGATTCATTTACTGAAGCATCTAAGCCAACACATTTCCCCAGCACTAAATCCTCACAAAAACCTGGATTAGGGGAGTGCAAATGTGAAGTTAGTTTCTTAAGCAGGTTGGGCTTTTTTTTTTTTTTTTTTTTTAAATCATATCAAGAGTCTTATAAAACTTGTCAGCTGTGACTGAGGAACTCCGAACTGGATCTATTCAAAGCCTCAACTTCAAGAACTGCAGAAAGATTTAACAACTAGGTAACAAGCGTGGGAAAAACTGTGTGTGGGGAGGTTGGATGCTGAGTTTGTAGGTGTTGCAGACTGCAAAGCAGGATGCAGAGAAGACAAAAACAGAGCCTATGAGAAATACTGCATTGACTACAGATATCACAGAGATAAACAAGGGCTGATGCAAAGAACATGAATTATTGGAATGTATGTATTTCTTGAGCTGTGTACACAAATTACACAGTTGCAATTTTCTGCTGGTCTTCATAATAGAAACACTGTAGGTCAAATTTGGCCTAATGTATTATCAGTAAGCTAGTGATTAAGCTCTAGAAACGTGCTCTATTTCTTATTAAAACGTTTCTATCTTCCTAGTAAACAGAATTCCCACCCTAGATGATGAGTGACATACCTATACAACAGTCCCAATCTCCTGGGATCCTCTGGAGGAAAAAGAATTCCCTACAAAAGGTTTCTCATGCTGTTTTTCAGCTCTCTTGCAATGCTCAAGACAGAAAACCTCAAGGAACTGTCAGCAGTTGTGCAAAACTGAGGGTCTGTTCTCCTGGTCCCCATTATCACTGGCCCCATGTTTAACAAACAGCAGCTCTTGGCAGCTGGAACCAAGGGCATTTTTCTTGCCACTCATGCAATGAGCAAACCACGGGCTGCTCTAGAATTCTGCACCCTAAGAAAAGCTATACATGTCCTAAATTAATTCATGAGGAGTAGAAACACAGCCATTAGACAGCTCACTCCACTGGAGCTAGAACCTGCATTCCCAGACTAATGCAGCTCCACTGCAGGCCAGTTGGCCCTGTTTGTGTGCTCCAGCACTGACGTGCTAAACGTGCTGTCTTGAGGCACCCACAGTCCTCTGCCTACTGTACTTCAGGAATAAT